ACAGTCCATGCCATCCAGTCCAGTGAGCTCGGGGAGAGGAAGATGATGGGATCTCCAGCACAGCTGAGCTTGCTGCTTAGGTGCCAGCGATGTAGGGAGAAGGCTGGGACAGCAACATAGGAAAAGCTCTTTGCAGATCCAAGAAAGGAAACTATTTTCGGAGCCAGAAAGGAAAAGACCTTGGGACATTCTCCTCTTCCCCCAGGTCCTTAGGAGCAGCGGGCAGCTTCTTCACACTTTCTGTTCTGGGGGCCACTTAGTGGCTGGGGGAACGGGCTTTGTGGAACAGGTACACAGGACGCTGGAAGCCTGAAGGGGAAGTGTGCAGTCAGGAGGGGTTGGCAGGACCTCAAGACTCTCCACAGGGTTTGCACCCTCTCTGCTAGGACCGGCCTCCCTTCCTCCCCTAACAAAATAAGCCAGCCCTACCTTTGGAGGTGTTGTGGGGTGTGGCCACAAGCTCATAGCTGGAGAAGCCCACCTCTGGGGATGTCAGGTAGGAACTGAACTGCTCTGGCTTCAGCTGGATTCGATAGTAGTTCTTGTAGATTGTTTCCTAGGCGGAAGGGCAGGGGACCATTTCAGCTTGCTGCCTTCTCCCTGGGTGGTGAATGATGCCCACCCAGGGAACCTTTTCACCTCGTTCAGAAAGTCCTCTTTCTGCTTCCTTGAGGCCTTTCTTGCCTCAACTAAAGGAAGGATATCCCCAATTTCTACTGAAACCCCAACTCACCGTGAGAGTCTTTCTCTTGCGGTAGGATGACCAAGGTTGGGGCTCCAGGACCAGGATGCCCCCAGGGCGGAGGTGCCGGTAGATCCGGCGGAACATGCGCTTCAGCCCCTCGTCTCCCCAGTTCAGATGCACCCACTTGGTGAGGCTGAGGCAGAGCACTACATCATACTCGGGAGTTTGGGCATCCACCAGCTCATCTCGACCCAGCACATAGTTACCCTGAGGGCAAGAATTGGGGGGGGGGGTCAGCAGAGGCATTAAAAGAGCCAATGTCCCCACACACCCTGCTCTGCAGCCTCTAAGAGAGAAAACCCTGCAGCTTCACCTTAACCCTTGGCCACAATCTTCCTTAACACTCCTCAGACTAACTCCCAAATGGTGCCCTCTTTGAGTCTCCTTTTCTTGCTTTACACCCTCCTGCCCCTATTTTTCAGGGGGAGTAAACCAATCAAACATAACAAGGGAGCCTGGGCAATTTTAAGTTGAGCAAATTATCCACGAGATCTCCAAAGCTGGGTCAAACTGCAGAGAAAGAATGCTAAGGTTCTCCCAAGACCCTGTCCAGTACTTACTCCCACCCCACAAACATTAAGCTGAGTGACTCAATGTTACGCAAAGGGACCTAACCCAGGTTTGAAAGGGACACCTGTGGTTTCTTCCCTGTGGTTGGGGCTGGCAAAGCTTCAGGCCTATTCTTTCCTTTCTCCCGGAGAAATGAAGAGCCCCATCCTTCAGGAAACCTTTTCTAGATGATAAGCTCACCTTATCACCCTCTGTCAAGTCCATTGTTCCAGGCTTAACCCAATATACTGCTAACTATTACTGCAGACAGCGAATCTGAGCATTTTATGGGGAGCTATATGTAGTCAGACACTCTGAAGACAAAGTACCCTTCCTTTCTGCAGAGGACTTTCTGACTCCTCCCCATCCCACTATCTAGGGTCAGTGTGGAGATGATTTAAGGCCAAGCCACTTGGGTTCCTGACCACTGACACTCTTCAACTAACTCTGCAGCTATTGCAAACAAGGTCTCTAACCATGGACAGACACCATAAATATTAGCCACTCCCCTAATCCTCTCCCCACCCCAAAACATTCCATGTCTAACACCCATCTCTTCATGCACCTTCAGTCGACTGGAGGACAAGTTCTCATATGGACCAAATCCCCCAGTGAGCATCAGCAGCAGCCCCCGAGGGAAGATGGACTGGTATGGATTCTAGCCCAGGCCAGGAGCAGGGCAAAAGGAGTCAAGCCCTATCTATTCATGAGAAAGAACCCCAGATAGAACTCCCATCTTTCCAGGTTATAGGAGGGCAGAGATACCCAGCGCAATCCTTCTCAGATTCATACCTTTCTCTTGAGGCTCTGGTCCTCCTAGTGATGAGTGCATGCACAGAAATCCCTCTAGGTCATAACCTTCCCCTCCCAGGTTCCCATTTAACCTCATCTTCATACCTGGCCCCTATCCCAAAAGCCTTATGGACCCTCTTACCGTGACGAAGACAACATTGTTGGGGAAGACTGATGTGTCCGCTCCATCCAAGGGCACTTGGGGTGCAGCAATGGGACCCCGGCTGGCTGTCAGTGAGGCTGGGAAGCAGCTTCTCTTTCGGACGGTTGTCGTCCCTTCCTCACTCTCTGCCCCTGGGTCCCCCTCAGAAGGCTGGGGTGGCAGACGCAGCTGCTCGGACAGGTAGTGTCGGATGTTTTGGCGGGCGGAGTGGATGAGCCGTGCATCGATATCCAGGCCCACCATTCGGGATGGGCCCCACTTACAAGCAATGTTCAGGGCCAGATGGCCCACATTGCAGCCCAGATCTAGGACGTCCCGACCCCGAAACCACTCAGGCTTCATCACCCGAAGGCGCCCATCCTCACAGGAAGGATTGCGGTACCCATAGTACTTGCAGTAATTCCCATACTGGAACTTGCGCTGTTGCTTTTTGAAGCCTGCTGCAGGTAGTGGGTGGAGGTGGTGGCGGCCTCCCCCACTCCCTCGGCCCTTTTCCTTGGGACCCTGGCCTGCACCCCTAGCCCCTGCCTCCGACTTGCTGGAAGTCCTGCGACGTTTGCGATGTCGTGAGGAGGAAGATGAGGGTGCACAGGTAACTGAGGCAGCTGGAGGGGCTGAAAGGGAGCCTGAGGGACCCTGTAGGGCGGATGGAAGGGGAGACACGACCTCATCCCTGCAGTTGATGGCTGTGTTGAGTTCATAGGGCTGGGGGGCATCCCGGTTCTGGCCTTTATGCCGCTGCTGCTGTGTGGTGCCCTCCCCATGGAGTGAGGGCGTGAGGGGAGCTGTGGGCAGCACGGAGTGGCTATCGTTCCCTCCAGTTGCCTGCTGCTGCTGGTGGTGCTGTCCCCGGTGTCTATGCCGCTTCCGACCAGTCTTGAGTGGCGAAGCAAGAACTACTTGGGCCTCATCAGTGCAAGTATTGAGACTGAGCGGGTCAGTAATATCTTTGGGGATGAGGATCTCCACTGGATCTCGCCCCTTGGCCGGAAGTGGTGATGACTTAGGGGTCTCTGCATTGAGTACGCGGCTCACTTCCTCATCCAGGAGACTATTCAGGTTCAGTGGATCAAAGATATTGCCCCCCAAGAGGAAGTTGGAGGGTAACACAGAGTCACAGTCCGAATTAACCCGCCTGCGCCTCTTGAAGGCCGGATGTTTGAAGCCTCCACCACCCCCCCCTACATTACAGCTATTTCTCCTCTTGCCTCCCCCTCCCCCAGGGGGACGGTGGGGCTGATAGCCATTTCTGGGCCGAGGAGGGGCAGGGGGGCCCAGTTCTGTTCCGCCCCCTGCCCGTCGCTCCTCCCCCACGTCCGGGGGAGCGGCTCGCCCGTGGGGATCCGTCAAGCGGGCCTCCCCGTGCGGCTGTGCCTGGAGGCCGCCCCCTCGTTGCTGCTGCCCCTGGCCGCCCCGAGGAGTGGATGTAGCCCTGGGGCTCTCCTTGCCGGCCCCAGAAGCCGGGGCCCCCGCCGAGTGTGCGCGCGGGCCCGGTCCGCGCTGTGTCCCGCCGCGGAGCTCCCCGGAGGCGGCCTCTCGGTGCGGCTGCACCGTGGGGCCGCCCCCTCCGTCCGACTCCTCTTTGAGCGGCGGCGGCGGGGCCGGCACCAGAAACGGCTCCTTCTCCGCCGCCATCTCGATCATTTCCTCCCCTTATTCCGTCCCAGTCGAGGGCAACGAGGGGGGCCAGGGGGCTTAACCCCCCTTCCTAGATCCCGCTCCCTTCCCCCCCTTCCCCGAGTGCGCGCGCAGCTCTGCTCTTCTCGCCTAGTCTCGCGCCCAAGCGCCTCCCCCGAAGCGCGCCCTTCTCGCCCACGAGACCAAAACAAGATGCCCGCGAGACCCGAAAAACTCGAGGAATCAACCGCGCGTGCGCCGACCCCTTTCTCCTCTACCACTACCGCTTCGCCGCGAGCGCGCACTGCTAGAGCGCATTCCTCTCGCCCCGGAATCACGCATGCGCACTCCGCCACCACCCTGGTTGCGCGCGCATCGGAGTACGAACCAACTTAACGGCTCCGGGAGTTTAAATATAGCCCCCCACGACCCCCCAAAAGCCCACCACCCCAAACTGACACCCTACTTCCCTTCGCAGCTATGTCCGTCCCTACTGATATCCTTTGTCTCTGCCGCGCGATCCCACCCACCGTAGGCGGGGGACGGGGAGCTGGTGTGAAAAGATCTCCTTGACACCCGACCCTTGTTCCTGAGGAATGAGTCTCAGCGGTCTCCGCCCGGCTCTAAACCCAACAACCTCCCTACCCCGCCTCCTTCCTCCCCCTAGCGGGCAGCGCCTGCGCACACCCTTTCGGGCTTGAGCGGGTAGATGCAGCACGTGCTGGAGATGACGCCCCGCCCTCCGTCCCAAGGGCGGGGACTGTTACGTCGCTTCCTCAGGTTTGGTGGACGCAACGTGCGTCAGCGTGATTCGAAGGGGGCGTGGCTAAGGGAGGGGCGGCCCTCATGAATTATTCATGACCCGATCCCCCCCCCCCC